CAGAAGGAGTCCACACTCCATCTTGTACTCCGACTGAGGGGAGGACAGTAAATTAACAATTTGTGTTCAATTTTAACTTTGACTGTTCAAAAATCTGTGCTAGTCAGAGGACGATAATATTGCTTAAGAGATGCCAAATCCAGATTCTATGGAATTATGTCTATTGTCCATGTCACTGTCTTGTGTTGTATTGGTCAGTGAACCAGTCTTTCTGTAAATATGATTTTAAAAATTTAAAGTTACTTTCTGTCTTATTAAAATTGATGAAATTAATTTAGAGTGTTTGTTATATATCAAATGTAGCTATTAAAAACAACCAAGAAATCTTGGTTGTCATTAAAATCCTTGCAGGACAGAAACCAAATAAATGTTTCAAGTCACCCAACCTATACTCTAAATTTGTGCCTTGTACATGTACACTGAACAGATTTTAATACCGCAACTTGAAAGAAAAAAAATGAAAACAAAATTTAATAACTACATACTCTAATTTTCATGCAACTAATTTTGGGTACGGGAAACAAACAGGATTTGTTTCTGCTCAAATTGTCTTCAAATTTGATTTGCTCACAAAAATATTGAGCAATATAGCATGTTTGAGCAATTTGGAGCTAGAGCAGTAGTCACATTATAGGTAAATGTTCTTGATATATATATTTTTTGAACTTGGCAAAATAACATTTTTATTTTTTCTCACTAAAAGTCTAAAAATTGCAATACTATATGCCTGGTCAAAGAGGGGGAGGGGCACAGCATGCTGACCATGTTTAATCGAAATCCGATCTGATGATCAAAAATGGTCGAGGTCCACATATTCTGTCCATCCTTGCACAACTTCATCCAAGTCATGTTGTACTGTCAACTACAGTTGCCAAAGTTGTATGCACTGAAATTTGGTCTCCTGTTATAACAAAATTTGGCAGATGTCCAGTTCTAAAACCATTGTTAGGAGGTGTGGGACTACTGCATGCACAGAACTTTTCACCAGTTTAACTTTTGCCCTCTGTAATTGGAGGGAATGTATTGCAGGGATTTTTGGTAACAATATACTTCTTGGTATAATGTGAAGGGCGAGTATTTATCCACAAAGGGTGAAATTTTGTGGTATACAGTACATATTAATTGCAATAATACGACAAATTGTATATAAAATGGTCATATTTGGAGACTGAACATTCAGTTGAGGAAGAAACATACCGAGTCGGGACATCTACAAATGACTGCTAGAGACCCATCCTTGTATCTATTATCTTGCTCAAGCTGGAATCGCTCGACAACCAGCAAAGAATGTTTTAACAGGTTTAAAATGCAAACGCAGAACAAGAGTTCCTTGGTAGCTAAGTACAGATGATTGTGGAGAATATTCATATAACTAAAAGATTTAACTTGAGCAAGAAAATAGACAATTGAAACTGATGCATATATTAAAATTGTCCTGCAGTAGTTGTGGCCAGGGACACTAAATAGAATGGAAGGGTTTACAAATACATTTCTTTGCAATCCTTACAAATACTTCCTTACACTGCAATATGACCCAAAATGATAATCACAAATCAGAAATATTTTCATATTTTTTATTCGTTCATTAATTGTTACATTAAACTACTTAAGAAACATGCTCATATCTTGCTTTCTGTTGATCACAGACATCCACATGTAAGACTACATGTTCATGAAATCTTAACATGTTGCTTATGCAAACACATGATAATGATTAAATAAATGTACTTTTCGATTCAGGAAGAGAGAAAATGGTCTGACTAGTCTTCAAACACCTTAAAACGAATCCAACAAAAGGATATTAAGGAAGAGAGAAAATTGTCTGACAAGTCTTTGAATGAATTTAAAATGTGTTGAACTTCTGTAACAAGTTGGTATAATTAATATAGATTTGGTTGGTATTTTGGCCAAACCAGACTTGTGGTTGTAATAGACTTCAGCTTAAACGTGGAGTGTTTAGAACTAATGACTTTTGTTCATACTAAGATCTGACAGAATTTGCCTGACACAGCTAATTATATAGACTAAAGCTTGTACAAAGATCTGTCAAACCTTACCATAAACTATTCTGACTGGCTTTTTAGCTTTCGGTAGACTCCTGTCATGCAACATAATTCAACAATATTTAGCAAATATTCTGCATTTTTTAATGCAAGTCATTAATTCTCTATACAGTGAAGTGATTCCTGCTATTATCACAGAAAATATCACAGCATTAAAAGCGGATAATAGATTAAACTGTACGTCTGTAGCCTATTTGGATATACAGCCTTAAGATCACCCTTCTGCCTGTACCCGATCGGACTTGAATAAAAGGTGAAAATATGACTACATGTATTCTATTCAGAGATTCCACCTATTGCTTGTACATACCAGGGTCAGCACATATTCCTGTTACAACAGAGTTTGTTTCTTCCACAATTGTCGATCAATCTCTTTATCAAAATACAAAATGTATGTGGAGAATGAACAATTGTTTTGACATCGAAGATTTTCTATCAGGGGATGGACACATTCTTGGATTTCTTTTCCACTTGGGTGGTCATCTCCATCAACCCATGTCACCTGGTTCCTCGTAGCAGTGTTGCAGTGTCTCAAAGTTTGCGAGTATCTCGACGTAGTCGTCCTCCTCTATACCAGCGGCTAAGTAACGGTGGTGTTTATGTATGTTCAGTTTGGAAGCCTCTGTGTGGAGAGTCTGAAGCAGCTCTACTGTGTCTGAAGTAGACTGTAAACTGGTCATAACAGGCACACTCTCAACTCCTGCACAATGGAAAAACATGACATTGTAAGCAAACCCTTCGCAATTGAAATATAAATCTTACATCTACAAAGAAGTATGTTGAATTGTCTTGGTGTCTAGGCGATGACTTTTTTTTATTGAAGTTATTGTCAAGCAAATAAATAGATATTGTTTATGCAACATTTTTATTTCAGTACTTTACCTTGAAAATCAGCTCGCTTGGTTGACGATAAAAATCCATTCTTGCTAACATTTGGATCAAATATGTGTGGGTAAGGGGAGACAACTTTACATGGATCCCGCAACACTGTTCCATCACTGAAAAAAATAAAAAGCATGCATGACTAAGCTTTGAGGTGAGTGAGTGGGGAATCTGAAGTAGCTACTATAGTCTATACACACACCCGTGTGAGATGTCACTATAGTCTATACACACCTGTGTGAGATGTCA